TAGCAGGTTCCACCACAGAGATATAAATATAAGGCCTACTCTGCCTGGGGACTGTCTCTTCAGACTTGGTCTCTTAGGATCATCCACAGGTACCTATACTGTAGATAGGTCTTAGTCATCAGGTCTACTCCACTTCCTTGTTGCCTGCTTAGACTCTTGGCACTCTTAGGTGAGCAGACTTAGTCAGCCTGTGTTGCCCTAATACCTATCTGGCACCATATTTCCCAGATGTAGCTAAATACACTGGGCCATTGTCCTCATTGACACACCAAAATAGGAGTTATGATGTAACTCCTATGCATGAAACTTGTTTCAAGAAGATTCTTTGCCTGGCTACAGACTACCCGGTGCTGAAGCCTATTGATCCCAAAAATGGGATCCCCATCTTTGTCATAGTAGATGCATCCACCAGCAGGGTAGGATGTTACTATGGCCAGGGGCCATCATGGGACAAAGTCCAACCTGCTGGATTCCATTCCAGATGCTTCACAAGTGCCCAATCAAGGTACCCTACCTACCAGCATGAATTGCTGGTGGTATTGGAAGCTCTCAACAAGTGGGAGAGCCAGTTAATGGGCATTCCCATTACTATTTGCATGGACCACACGCCGTTGCAATACCTTCAATCAAAGGCTACTCTGGCTGGAGCCAGAGTGATATGTGCTCAGAAATACCTGCAGCGCTTTAATATAATAAAGATTCTCCATATTCCTGGAGATCATAACAAGTTAGCAGACTGGATGTCATGCTCAGACAGTCCTACTGAGACTGTCTCCACTGATATGCAGATAGACAAGGAGATGGAAGATGCCTCCTTGGAAAATCTTGCTGAGCTGCAATGGATAGTTGCAGTGCATCAGATGATGACAAGATTCAAGGGTACCAAGGTACCCCCAAGGGAATGAATCGTTCTCAACTCCCCCTTGCTGGTGCACAAGAAACCATGTGTCCCTTGGGGATGGGTCAAACAAAGAGTTCAGCAAAGTGCTGAACTCAACAGCAGTCACTCTGACTGTCCTGATGCTGCGGCGATCACCCCTTCTGCTACAGAGGCAGGAGTCAAACATGTTCAGGCTGGGATGCAGCCTGAGAATCTGACCTGTGCTCCTGCAGGGGAAGTGGCAATGCTACCAAGTGTTGGCTCATCTACATGTGTAGCAGAAACCTTGAGTTTCCAGCTGCGTGGATATTCTGCTCTGATATGAGCAATAAAACATGCCTATATGGCAGATGCCTTCTACTGGAAGGCAGTGGCACAAGCACCAAAGAACAAACAGTGGTTTGTCAAAGACAACCTGCTATATATGTGTCACCTGGAAGGTGACATAGCTCTGGATGTGCCCAATGGGCAGTACAATGGGGAATCTATACAATTGCTCCTCATAGCCAACATTCATATGAGCGTTGGCCATTACAGAGATAGGAAGATGCTAGCCTTCCTTCAACACCAGTTTTGGTGGTCATCTGCTGCTAAAGACATGAAAAAGATTTGCAGGACTTGCCTGCATTGCCAGATGGCAAAGGATAGCACAGCAAAGCCTTCCAGTCTTCTCCATTGCCTCCCTACTCCTGGAGCTCCTTGGAGCTCCATAGCAATGGACTTTGTGGGTCCTCTCCCTCTATTGGAGGGATATGACTACTTGTTAGTAGTCATATGTCAGTTAATGGCAATGGTACATCTAATACCATTGTTAATGATGTCATCTTCAGCTGATGTTGCACAAGTATTCGCTCAGGAAATTGTGCATTTGCATGGTGTACCAGATAGTATCATCTCAGACAGAGACTCTAAGTTCACTGCCACATTCTGGCAGACATTGCATAAGTAACTCGGTATGACATTGCTTATGTCAACCTCATTCCATCCTCAAATGGATGGAATGACTGAGCAGATGATATGCTCAGTTGCACAAATGCTACAAACAGTCATAGCAGATGACCAGTCTGACTGGTGTGAGTGTCTACCTATGGTAGAATATTCAATTAATGCTAGCATAAGTGCTAGCACTACATTCAGTCCTTTCAAACTGAATTATAGACACATTCCATCCATAACACAGATCATAAGGCACTCTGTGTTGGAGTACCAAGGTGTAGATCATTTCATGCAACACGCACAATATGCAGTACATATTGCAACAGATGCAATAATTGAAGCCCAAGTAAATCAGGCTCATCACGCTGATAAGTGTCAACAGGCTTCACCTGGATATGAGAAAGGAGACATGGTCTTCCTTTCCACATGTAACTTGGTGGTTCCAAAGAACTGGGCAGTAAAACTACTGCCAAGGTATATCGGACCTTTCCATATTGAAAAGGTCATGGATGCAGACAATTGTCTGTTAGCTCTCTCTGAGAGCATGACATGGGATACACCTGACATTCCATACAAGCCTGCTAAGGCCTTATGTCCACAGTGACAAAGTACTCTTCCCAGGAAGAGATCTGGATACTGTTTATGGTAATGCACTGGATGGTGAACAGATTGTCGAGTTGATCGATGATCATCATTGGAGGCAACACAAGTTGCATTTCCACTTTATTTGGTCTGACGGGGACCAATCGTGGGAGTCTGCCAGTAAGGCAGACCGACTCACCCAATTGGATGAGTATTTGGAGCTTCAGGGCATGAAGACTCCAGAGGAGCTTCCAAAAAGGAATGCTCAGGGATAATATCATTGTTAGTCCACATGACTAACAATGGAAGGCCTTTGGCCTTCTATCTCCACAACCGCGGTGGCAGACCATAAGCAGAAGCAATTCTGCAAATTTTTGGCCAATGCAAAGGCCAAAGAAGAGACCACCTCTCTTCTCTTCTTACCACCACCATCCCCCCTCCCACAAACAGTATATCATGTTTGATCTCGCCTTCTTGCCCTCCATCATGCTCTTTGAGCACATGTCTGGCATTTTGCCTGCCCCTGCACCATCTGGTGCAACTGCCTCGGCTGAGGTGGAAGTCTGCAAGGACATTGTCTCACTTCCCCTGCCATCTCTGAGGACTGTCTTGCCCATGGCTGTCTCCCCAGCAGCCCCCATTCCTCCTTTGCTGCCTATGGCAGTGATACTGACTGGCATGGACTCCACGCCAACTATCTTGTCATGGACCACCAAGTCCATCCAGGGAGGTGCTCTTGTGCCTTCCTCCAGTGTCATCCATATGGACAATAATCTGTTTGGCACTTCGGTGCACCCTCCTGCAGTTGTCCCAATGGATGACACCCCCACAGCCCTGGTTGTTCTCTCAAACAACCTCACACCTAGTGATGCCATTCCCTTGAATGGCACAGATCTTACTGCTGTTGTTCTGTCGAATAACTCCCCATCCTGGCACATCAGATGGGGCAAACCTTCTGGCACCCCGCTTGTTGGCTGGGGTACTTCATCCGGAAGGGACTCCTCTGCTGGCTGGGGCGACCCCACCAACCCACTGGAGTCAGCCCTCATCCCTTGGGATGAGGATGAAGAAGAATTCATCAATGATGATGAAGATCCTTACCTTGTCCCATATGGGGTACCCCTCCACCCAAAGGAGGATCACGGCACAACTTATGGACATGATGCAGAAGGCTTCCTGAGGCCCCAAATGCCTGAGTATGCCCGGGGATCTACTGATCCCTTCTACCATGATGCTTGTGCCTGCGCCCCTGAGCCCTTTGCTCTCCTTGTGGGAAACCCTCACACCAACTCACAGTTAGCTCTTCATTCCACCAAGCAGCTCACTGACAAGCTGCTCTTCAATCACCTGCATCGCTGGACTGCAGAAGAGACTCGTGATCATCTCTCATGGGACTGCAGAGACTGCTCTGATGAGTTGTTCCACCTCCATCATGGACATCTTGATCAAGTTGAAGGACTTGAAGATGGGGGCTGCAAGCACGTCTTTGCAACCATGGCTGGCGTCCTCCCATGAGACACCTGACAATTGTGACGTCCCTATGGATGACCCCATCATCAAGGAGCCTGCATTGGCTCCTCCCCAACCCTCTGCTGTCACCCTCAGCAAGCGTCCTGCTGTGGACAAACCCACCTCTGCACCTCCATGCAAAGTACCATCTATATTGACAGTAATGGCATCTTCTGGTGCCCCCACCCCGAGCAAGTCTTACAGCTCAGTTGTGTCCAGCACTGCTGGACTGCCTCTCACTCTCGCCCAGACAACCACCATGGCTACTTCTAGCTCCTCTGGAGCTAATGCTCAATCTGCCTTGACTCAGATTGACACAAACAGTCCCTCTGCCATCACTGCTATGCAACAGGGATTCCCTCCCACAGGAGTCTTGGAGATGGTAGCTGCACAACAGTCCCTCTGCCATCACTGCTATGCAACAGGGATTCCCTCCCACAGGAGTCTTGGAGATGGTAGCTGCACAATGTGCAGCTGCTCGTGTGGCTCAAATGGGTCATCCTTTCCCATGAGCCAACCCAGCAAATCCCTGGCAGGGAATCATAATGGCCAAGCAATTGACCACAATCCAGAACACAGATCTTCCCCATTGGCAGGTCTTAATGGAGACAGCTGATGCCCACTGGGCTCACACTCCACGGACGGGTAACCTCTGGTCCTGATTTGTGAAGATGGTGGAGCAGGAGGGCAAAGAGGTGAATCCTCACCTCAACAAGGGGCCTGGTATTAGGCGCTCTATGGATGGGAGATACTACATCCCCAACCTTAACATGTGGACTTGGCTCCACAATAACTGCCCACATGCAGATGTTAAAGGCTGGCAGAAAGGTGATGCTGCTGCCTTTTATGAGATTGTGATGAATCTCTTTTGAACTAAGTTCAAATTCAACAAGTTCATTGATGAGCATCAGCTCAGTTGCACCGGCATTCCTCATTGGTCTATGACCACTTGCTTCCACAAAGCTGTCTCCCTCAATGTGGATGGTGTATGCATTTGGAGCCCCATCAGGGTTGCCAAAGAGTTCATCACCAGTGGGCTTGATGAATCAAAAATTGACATCCTGGTCAGTTACTTTGGTTGTAGGCGACAGAAGGCAGAACTTGGTTGTGCATACTGCAACAACATTCTCAACAAGAATGGCATGCACACGCTTGGTCTTGTAGACTGACATGGCAAGTCATTGTGGACAGAAGTCTTCCAGTCCACAATAGTTCCCCCTCCTGCAGAAGGCCTTCCACCATTGGGTCTTGAACCTGAAGGCTTGAAATGCATAGTAAGCCCTTTCAATCAGTGACCAGGGAGCGGAACAGCGAGCACCGCTGCAGGCCTGTTATCCATCTTCTCCATTGTCGTTGCAATTTTGTTTCGTTTTATTTGGCGAGGCAAGGTGTCACATCGCGGTACCTTTGTTCCTATTTCTCTTTTGTTTCCTAGGTAATCACGAGAACTGGGACGAGGTAAAACTACAGTAGAAGCTGATCAATGGCCAATTTTGCAAGCGTAAACAACCATGTTGTTTGAGACCAGCAGCACTCTGTACACTCCATATAGCATCCCATTACATCCACTATCGCCCGGTGGATCCCAGTACTGAGGATGCCAGAGTTAACAAGCAGCCGATAGGCGGCTGCAAGTACTGGCGGTGAGCGATTTTTCAGGGATCATGTTCACGCGTACGTTGACGTCTATTTCACCTCATACCACCAGCATCACATAAAACGCCGTCCGCAAGCCCCCATACAATGAGCGCATATTGGGAGCCAGGAGAAAGTTGACAGGGATGTAGCGGAACGGAACGCAGACAGAGGCATAAGCCGAAAGGAATCCGTTGAGGGAGGGTACTCTGCTGAACGGGACAAGAGCGACGCGTCTTTTCGATCAAGAAGTTTCACCCATCGATGCTGATGCTGCTTTGGCAGTACTTCCCTATCGGCCACCAGTCCGACCTCGACTTATCTTCTCCGAAGAAGACGAGAGTATCTCCTTGACGTTAACGCGTGGACTGCAGATGGGCAAGGACAGATGGGCACAAGTCTGGCTCGCATCCGTGCACGTACCCGGTATCAGCGAACTGCATCAGATCGCTGTCAAGCTCCTTCAAGAAGCATTTTGTCCCCATT